GAGCGTCGTTATGTGCAGGTGACATTACTCTCGAGGATACATCATCGGAATCTTGTTCAGTTTCTCGGCTATTGCCAAGAAGACGGAAGAAATATGCTCGTTTACGAGTATATGCACAACGGAACTTTGAAGGAACATCTTTACGGTAACGTCGAGTGCTACTTCTTAGCCATCGAATCGATGGCACTGCATTGTTACAACTTTGTGTTCATCTACCTGTGTATTTATGTACTTTTTGTAGGTGTCGTACCGCGTGACCGGAGGATCGGTTGGATTAAACGACTCGAGATCGCAGAAGATGCAGCCCGAGGTTCGTGAAAGGAAAAAAAAGATCGAACTCTTAATCTTCACCGCGAGGTTGTTCTTTTACATAAATCTCGGGTATCCCATTGTTTTATTCTTTTTCCTCAGGGATCGAGTATCTCCACACGGGCTGCGTTCCTGCCATCATACATCGTGATCTCAAAACGAGCAATATCCTTCTCGATAAACACATGAGGGCAAAGGTCTCGGATTTCGGCCTCTCGAAACTCGCCGTCGACGGGACCTCACACGTCTCGAGCATTGTTCGGGGAACCGTCGGATATCTCGACCCCGAGTACGTCTTCCTCCTCCTCCCCCTTCTCCCTATTCCGCCAGAAGCATTTTCGTGGTGACCTAAAATCATTTTCTACCCATTCAACAGGTACTATATATCGCAACAGTTAACAGAGAAGAGCGATGTGTATAGCTTCGGGGTCATTCTCCTCGAGCTGATGTCGGGACAAGAGGCAATATCGAACGAAAGCTTCGGAGTAAACTGCAGGAACATCGTCCAATGGGTCAGTACGCTTTTTCCCGAGCATTTTCTCTCGGATTTCTTTCGTTCAACCGATGGAATTCCCGACTCTTTTTTACAGGCGAAGATGCATATAGACAACGGCGACATTCGGGGAATCATCGATCCGGCCTTAGCGGAGGACGAGTATAGCCTCCAATCGATGTGGAAGATTGCAGAAAAGGCATTGCTGTGCGTGAAGCCGCACGGGAGTATGAGGCCGTCGATGTCGGAAGTGCTGAAGGACATACAAGACGCGATAAGGATCGAGAAGGAGACGTCGGAAACGAGAGGAGGAGTCTCGGACGAGTTTTCGAGAAGCTCGGCTCAGTCGTCGTCTATGAACATGATGGGGATGATGGATCTTGCAGGAACCGAGAACTTTGTCTCCATTGATGATTCTGTCTTGCATCCGACACCTCGTTAGTTCTCTGAAAAAAACCCTAACAATGGCTTCAAAGCTTTCTGTTCTGTTCCTCGGTTTGCATTTGTTTTGTACAGAAGCAAAGAGTACTTGTCCACGGATTCTTGGTTTCTTTCTCTCTGTTTCCTCTGTTTTTTTTTTGTTTTTTTAACTCAATGATTAATTTGTGACTGTGAGATTAAAATACTTTGTTTTTTTATGTAATTATATGATTTGGAATGTTATTAAAGTGATTAACGTTTCACTAAAATAATTAAAAATCTGAAAGAAAAAAAAACAAGAGTACATATCCATGGCTTTTTGCCTTTATGAGCTAACTCAGTGATTAAATAGCGAATGTGAAATTAAATCTCAAAAAAAAAAATGATTTGAAATGTCATTAAAGTAATTAATGTTTTATTAATATAATTATAAATTTTTCTAGGAATAAAACGACGACGTTTCATAGAACAGACACGTGTCGTGACTGGATTTGCTGTTATAAGAAACAGAGGAGACATCCGAGACAACTTGAGAGAGAGAGAGAGGGTGAAAAAAAAAAACAAAAACCAACGGTGTTGATAAAACCTAATCTCTTCATCGCAGTCGTTCTCCTCTTTCCTCTCTTTGTCCAGCGTCCGATCAAAACTCTCTTCTCCTCCAATCAATCATCCTCTCTCCCGCCCTTTTTCGAATTCGTCAGGTAAACATTCTCAATCTCTCTCTCTCTCTACCATATTCCCGGTTTCCTGTTTTATCTTCGATTCCTGGTTTCCTGTTTCATCCATTGATTCTCAGTTCCCGATCGTGATGCGTTATGTCTCTGATTGGCGTTGTTTTCTTGTTTGATGTTATGTTTCTGTGTTTTGGTTTGGGAGCTAGGGTTTCTGATGGCGGAGACGCAGGGCAAGGGCGCGAGTCCGGGCGGCGGCGGTAGCCACGAGAGCGGCGGGGGG